GAGCGGTTCCCAAACCGGAGGATACAGGTCTTGTGAGAGAGTGCTCAGCTCTCCCTTCCTCCCCGCCAGGACACGTTGCAAATGCATTTATTTGCACACAAAAAAATCACCTTGTTATTTCTGTAATCAAAATTAGGCTGATATATCTAGCTTTAGAAAATCAGACATTAAAAATGCAAAAAGAAATTCTCCCCTACTAAATGCACCAAAATTCACATTTTAAAGTTGTAGAAGTAAAGCATGTTCAAAGGTTGGGTTTTGCTGTTGCAAATTCCCTTCTTTTTGTTTCCTCTGCTGAATGAAATCGATGCCTTTATGTGAAGATACAGTCAGAGAACCAACTTTCCACTTCTCTCCCCATTGTACTAATCCAAATCTGAGATGTTTCCATCTCGTTACCTGAATTTTTTCTTTATCGTTGAATGAAACAAAGGGCAACTCACCAAATGGCTGGTTGTCTCAATTATTCTTATTATTCTTATACTGCATTTTAGAGTACATCAGTTGTTCTCCCAAACCATTACATCATAACAACATTTTAGTAGCAAAAACAAACCCCAAGGGGGGAAACAAAACATCTCTCGTAGAAAAAAAAATATTACTGACATACAGTTTTCTGAGAAACAAATTGTGCCTGTCAATTTTGTGGAGATAAATATGTAACCTAGATGGTTTTGTGTTTAATGAAAAATATTGACTGTTCGAAATACACTTCTTTCAGACCCTCAATCTTCTGTCGCATATTTGTCCTCCAACAGTTACCTAATATTAAAGTCACTAGAGAAACTATGCTTTGAATTATGCCCTGACACTTATTGCTACAATTCCCAGTTTTTGCAGGGAAGAAAGCTGCATACCAGATCCTCTAAGGCTGCCTTTGCTGCATAAGAACATCCATCTCTCCCAGAGCGTTACCACCCGCGAGCAGCGGCACAGAACTGGGGGGCTGCAAGCTTCTCGCCTTATTGACATCCGAGCTTCCAGTACGGAAAGCAGACTGCATAAATGACCAAGCAAAACCTGAATTTTTTCAAGAAAAAGCTGAGCGTGAACATCGCAGGGCTGACAGCACCTTCCTGCCAGCTGGTAGATAGTCTACGCCAGAACTGCGCAATATGTATATTCTGAAGATATATTTTGAACTCATGTTTTATGCATTTGGAAACCATCGTTTTATAGTTTATGTTTATATTAATTACCGCAGCTGTTTTACCCCATTTATGTTTTGAGATGGTCATGGATAATCCTGATAAATAGCAATACTCTGGCAGCGCCTTGTGCGAAGATGGGTCAGGGTCAGGCCCG